CATAAAGAAAGAATTGCTCGATATATATATAATGTTTGATCTAGATTGTTGTAAAAACTTGGTTTTATGAGAATCGAATGAATCACGAGAATATTGTCAATCACTCTGTTTGTTGTTAGTTTTACGTTTTTTATTTGAATTTTCTTAAAGTATACAAATATTTTAAAAAAGGCCACTCGAATGTATGCGAATAATAAAATTTACAAGAATAAAAAGTGCAACGAAGCTTTTCCAAAAACATTAACAAAAACCAAGGGATTTTTTCTATAATGCGCCGAAATCTGGCTCATCCCTGTTTTTACACGGAGGAAGCATAGTCGTGTCAAATTGAACGCAACCAACGCTTTTCTAAATCACCCTGCATACAATAAGGTATAAATTTAGTTGTTCGCAATTTACGACACAATATTCCCTATAACACCGCAATCTTTCACAGAATCTAATACAGTCGGGTTCGAAGGCATGGCCGCTGGATTCGAACCCGGAACCTTTACATTACAGTGATGAGCTCCGGGTCAACTCTCAAACCGTTGCGGCCACCGGCGCCCTTAAAATTACTATTACTAATCATTCTTATTTTTCGTTGTTGTTTTAATGAATTTTAATTTAATAAATAATTGCTGTTTCATCAAATCATGATCTTTAATTTTATAATATCGAAAAATCTCCCCTTCTCACTCTCTCTCTCATTACTCTCGAATTTATAAGACCGTTGTTAATAGGAAAACACTTTGCTTAATCTACCAACAAGAAGGGTTGATTTCTCTAATGTAAAACCTAATCTCAATTTAATTTTAGATGCTACCTCTAGATACATGAGGGATTTCTTTCCTCTTTCTTCCATCATCGTATTAAGTTCAAATATAATCCATTACAATCTTATCTCATCGCTTTTTATTCGAACCTAGGGAATTTACAATGAAGCAAAACCGTTGAAGTTAGTCAATCAAAAAGGTTTGAGTTCCCTAACAATAAAAGCAAACCTAATTTGTGTTTATGTGTAGTTTTTTTCCCTAACGATTAATCGTGAGTCTATAAGTTTTAGCATACAGAAACATGACTTTTAACATATTAACATCATTTGGGTATTGTAAGTATGAAAACAGTTTAAATAACATTAATTATTAAAATGACATTAATAACTACACTGAAAAATCAAAAATGTGTATGTACTGAGTCTTTTTAACTACTATACTGTGTTTTAAGCTAAAATTTGAGAATTTGTCTTTTTAAACTATATTTTGTCAATGTAAAAGTACGTTTTTCATATAACTCACAGGTTATTTGTGAAAGGGGGATATTTGACTAAAACCAGGAATTTGAGGTAAAAAAAAAACAGTTGAGATTTCAACACTATTTTTTCTAAATATAATTAAGGACTGGAACAGAGAGAATGGGCTCAAAGAATGCCCGGTGTACTGCTTTAACAAACAAACATCCACGTTTGGTGGGAAGGAACGTGCGGGTGCGAGAGGACGGGATCAGACTAAATGAAAGAATCCTCCTGTCCTACAAAGAAACTCTTTGTTCTAAATTTCAACCCGAAGCTAACAGAGAGATTTTATCAAATTAATTTACAAACGGGAAACTTTTCTGTGAAACGCCCTTGGGACGATCGTTTATTGCTTGGAAAGTAAAGTGGGTCAAGGAAGTTGACTCGCCCTCTACCGAGAATTTCAATCAAAGATAGGATTATTATTTAAATTTGCATTTATCATTTAAATGATAACCAATGACTAAATTAAGATGTTTCTATCAAAACTGGAGTAGAAAATTTGTTCGATAAAATTATATACATATGCAAATTTCAAAAATACTTTTTTCAAAAATGGAACAAAATTTAAGATAAATCTTAATTTTTGTAACCTTAAAAAATTAAAAGTTGTTTTAACTCATCAAACTCATTATGTGTATGTTAAAGCCCACCATTTGTCATCGTAAACTACCATTTTCTAAAAATGTCAGAAATTTAATGCTAAGGTGTGAACCTTATCGTTTACCAGTGGGTCTGATTTTTTAAGTAAATTGTAAGTGGATATTTATGACAATGTCTATGGCGAGCTAACAGTAGTCAGTTACAAAGCTGGAATGGTTTAATCGGATAAAAGCTCGTTCCATGGATCTATGAAATTCTTATAACTTCTCTCGTGTGACATGGTAACACCACGAGCGTGAAAACATCGGCTTGACAAATTATTTTCAATTCAAAAAGAAAATATCCTATCCAGCCTGTGGGCCAAACGGCATAAAGCAATTTTATAACAGCATAACGGTAGGTCATTTAGCATAAGCGAAAATGTCCGAAATGAAAGGTGTTGCCTCACCCTGCTCACACACTATTATTCAGACTTCCTGCCTTTTTTGAAAAACAAAAAATGATACAAAGTTGAGAGATTAGGGTTTTGCATTAAAACCAATGCAGTGTTCATATCAAATGTTGACTGAAATCCAGATAAATCTAGTATTACAAAGCGGTAACAGTTTATTAGGGATAAAACCCTTGAGCTTGATATGGGCTTTTGAAATTAAAAACAAACTATTTTAATGGCCATCATCGAGTCAATTTTGGAATATAAAAGTTCATAATTTACGAGCATATAATGTAGTAATTTCTTTATCAATTTTGATTCATGTCTGCTGCATCACCAGACATCTAAATTTTTCACATATTTTTTGAGATGAAAGATATTTAGATTTTTAAAACAAGCGTTATGTTAAAAAGGTAAGTTATTAAACGATTTCCGTTGGGATGAAGAAATCTACGTCAAGAGTCAGAAACTCTCCTTTCTTAAAACCCTGACATTGCACCACTCTAATGTTTCAAACGGAGTGATTTCAGTTTCAATTTTGAAGTCAACCAATTTAATGTTACAAAAAAATTCTGATGGACGAGGTAGGGAATAATGTTAAGAGATATAGCTGGAGTGACATCTATTTTTTTTTTTATATTTGGAGTCAAACCACACCATCCTACTGTTCAGCAGTACTTCAGATTATTAGTCGACGGGATACCCTCGGCTCTAGAAAACAAGCAATATTGCTTAGTTACATTTCTGGAAGTTACACATTCTGCTTACATACCTACACATCCAAACACACAAGTCCCAACTTAAGACGACACCGCAAGCTTATCTACATACTCCTAGCCACAGATGTAATACAATATCTGAACCTCATTGCCAAATCGGTGGCGGATAAGTCACGATTTCGCACAAATGTCAAACCTGCCCATCGGTGCACAAAAACCACTAACACTATCAATTCAAGTCCGCTACCTTGAGCTGTACTTAGATAGCACACATACATCGAACCTTACACACTATATACAAGCTTAAAACGACAAGAAACAAAAGATATGAGAAACCTACTGGGAGCACAATCAACCCTGAGCATCATAAAAAAGAACAGCTTACTAAACACTCATCAGAGTCGGACTCTCGGAGTCGGCCAAATCCTCGAACGTCCAACGAATTCAATCCTTTCAATCAAAGGTGTCCAAAATCCCATTTGTGAACGATCTTATCCGAACACACTTTCTTAATTTCTACTCTAAACTATCCCTCCACCCTACCCACTAGCCCTAACTCTTTCTTCGACGTCCCACCCTCATTTTTTACAACGACGATGGCCTCGTGACCTCCTCTCTTAACCCACCCAATTAAATAAAACAGGGTTCCAGAACTGGCCGATTTCTCCCCACGCAGGTCGAACAAACTGTCTAATTTGTACAAATCTATAGTATTAGCTCATTGTACATTTATTTTGTATACAGATAGCAATAAATAAAATAAATTTAAAAAATACTTTTTTATATAAGGATTTTTTTTTATACAATGTATACCAGGAACTGGAGGAGATCCCCCAGAGCACTGCACTTACAGCTTATTGAACTTTATTCCTGGCTCCATTTTTTGGGATCCCGCAACACGCGTGTGAATTGAACCCCCGGTGTGCCAGTGTTCTTCCGTCGAAGAAACTCATTTTTGAAAGGGGTTGGGTCCAAATTCAGGGTCGCTGAGATCCGATCCCGCCCCAGACCTCCCACTGATGAGTGGCGTGTCAATTTATTTCAATTGCGGCCACCGGTCCTTTTAGGCGACAGAAAAATCCAGAGGCGACGGTGGGTCGAACCCATGACCGCGGGATCTACTAGCCGAGAGTCAGACGCCTTAACCACTCGGCTACCCCCCCCCCCATATAAGCATTGCTTTAGTAATTTTTTTTTTTAAAGAAACGTTTATAATCTTTTTTTTTTCTCCATAATTTTGCTTCTATGGAACCCACCCAGTAGATCCCAAAATAAAATCTCAATTCTAAAAACTCAGAAAATTAAATGATATCTTCAAAATATCCTCCATATATAGATGGTTGGTTGTAAATAAACCAATGTTCGACGGCCATTAAAATATCAATAGTCTCTGGCTCAAAAAACCTCCACTCTCATTCCAATCCCCACGTACAACAACTTAACTACCGATCATTTCCCAATAAACCTCCTCGAAATTGCAATGTGATATAAAAATCTCTACTTTATGTGTAACTCAATGTCTTTCTAGTTATGGAGCACTATCAGTGGGTAGTTTCTTCACTCTTTGTAACCAAAGGAATACTCACAGAACGAAAACATTCATTAATTTCTTACTTCTCAATCAAGTATGATGAATTATCCAAAAATTTAGAACATGTCAACGCTCTAGGAGATGTACATCATTGTTCTTCCAATGAACACTTTTTATTTTACTTCATATTTCTGCTTTTATGTTATTGTTTAATCATTTTTGTTAATCAAAAAACGTACCTATGACATATATGCAACCGTGGTAGCCCACGCATGAAACCCCGCTTCTTCTTGACCTCATCGGTGGAATCATCGACCACTGGTTCAACTCGGGGTCGTAGACCTCAGCCGTATTCATGCACTCTTGTCCGTTGAAACCGCCGGTTATATAAATCTTACCTGGAAAGAAAAGTATCGCTTTAAAAAAAATATCAAGTTTGAAACTGGAATTATTGGTCAACAATGTTTCGTGGTTAATAGCCTTCTTTTGTCTCAGTACCAGTCGTTAAAGGAACAGTTTCCAGTATAATTTCTTACAATTCTACTTACAGTTAAGGAAAGTTGATAAAGTATTACATAAATCTTTTCCATTCAAACAAAAAAAAAATTTAAGAAGCGTTGAGCCATTTGAAACAGTTTTGAAGTTGGGGAAAATGAGCCAAGGGAAGTTTAATTAAATTGATGATTAAGTCTAAAAATAAAGTAATTTTAGAGGAAAAAACAAAAGATTGTTTTTCTATTCGAGCCCACGGATGTCATCATTATCTTAAATCTTATCATTATAAAGGTACCATACGTCAAACAATGCATTCAACGAAGAAAGCTAATTTCTTCCACCTGGGCATTGAGATTACACAATCTTTCTTGCACCCCTTTGACTTTGAATCTTTGAGTTTTCAAAAGGCTTTAGTATTTATATAGATTTTCTCATTTAACAAGAATTATTCAAAGGAAGACAATTTTAAGCAAACGTATTTTCTGTTTGATTTATTAATAATTTAGAAATATTATTAGATCAATTTTTTAGATATAAAGAAATACTGTTGCACTCGACTGAATTAATACTGTCGATTATTGATTGACTATGAAGCAAACTAAAGGTTAAATATTACGAACCCGGGATGATTTCGTTGGTAACAATTAGATCAGCGCCAAGGTTTGCCATTAATATGGTACAGTAGATTATTTGGATAAATTGTACACCGCGACTAGAAAGTTTTCCAACAAACCAAATTAATAAATTCCTTGTAATTATTCAGAAAAAAAAACATGTTAAAATAACAAAAGGAGAAATATTGGAATCTGTATTCCATCTCAAAGTTGATTCAACCATGTCTTTCGATACATAAACAAAAGTTTTCTTGTGGTCCAATTTTGCTTTCTGGCAATGGACTTGGTCTGATATGTTATTTAACTTTACCAACGTAATATATTCGGTTTGGAATGGCAACCGAATTGTATTCAAATATTTTCGCTGTTTGAAAACACGACGAACACGAACAGTCTGGATCGAGGTATTGTCATGAAGAAATAAAAGCAAATTTAGTTGTTACTGCCAATCATTCCACCTATTTTAAGGTCATAATAAGGGCGTAAATAATAAAAAACATATTTGTAAAATAGATTTAGGAATCAATAAAACTATGCACAACTTACAAAATAATCAAATATTCTCACGGCATTTACAATATATACAATCTAAGCATATATTAGATCCTTAGATGTATTGAAAATATGGCTTGTTTATACAATTCTAAATTCATTAGGTTACCTTAGAAAACATTAACATTAATGTAATTGTTAAGGTTTTTTATACATTTATAAAAATAAATAGGTCTAAATATGAAGATTATAATTGCAAAGTTGAAGAATTTATAGAAGTCTTTAAAAATTATTCTTTACATTCTTTAAAAATTTAAAAAAAATTCTTATAATTATAAGAAATTATAATACATTAGGTGGCCCTTAGGAAGAGAAAGGTTGCTCGATGTGTCCCACATACTGGAAACATGTCATGCCTTGGCTCTCTACAGGGAGCGTGTAGGCATGCCATCCAATCTGAAAATGGTACTCGAGGACGGTAGCGAGTTTCTAGGTCCCCTGTTCCGCTTTTTAGGGGAAATTGGTTTTTTTTATTGTATATAATATGTCTGTGTGTCTATATGTTTTGTCTGAGTGAATGTATTTATTAGCGTGAATGGCGAGGGGTGAGGGTGAAATATAACGTCATCATCGCCTCTCAAACTTTGAGTGCGTATGAGTGTGGGTTCGGGGTCGATGGCGGAATATTTATAAAAGTACTCCATCGACCCCAATCTGGTTTAGTTTGAGTATAGGTCGGTGGAGGAATATCAAGTACTCCACCGACCAAACGGAATGAGTATGGATGTATTTATGTGTATGAATGTATTTATATGTATGAGTGTAGTGTTTGAAAGGGTAAATAGAATATGGACTTAGTTGGGGGCTGAAATGACCTAGATGTTGGAAGCCCCAGTCAAAAATAAATTAATTTGTGTAAAACTGCATTATTCAATCGATTAATCAATTAATTAATATATGTCGTATAAAATATTAATTGGATTTACAAAGTTTGATTGAGTTTAATAAAATATAAGCAATTTTGATTTTAAATTATGTTAATTTACATCACATAACGTAAAATTATGTTGATAAAGCTAACAATATATGTATACGATGGTGGGCTGGATCAGCAGAGAAGCTCTTACGCACGTGAGCGTCTATACGTTAAGATCTGAACAGAAGAAAAGAGATCAACTGGCTCAACGAAGAATAGGTAATGCTAGGTTGACCCACTGTTACGTCATTTTGTGCAAAAGCCAACGTATGTGTCGGGCAAGTGGAGAAGTTGGTTCGCTATGTCAAACTTAATGGAAATTTGTCGTTTCTTGGCTCCATATAGTGAACCTGAAGGAGCCACAGTGAGAATTGTCCTTAAACAATATTTTGGTCCCTGATTCGATATTTAGAGAAAAAGGGCTGTTTTATTATACAGGGTGTCCCAGTTTCTTCTGAAGAAACTCAGGGAATCGATTCTACTCTTCGTTTGGAGCAAAAAATGCTCAGGGTAAAATTTTCGTAAATTTCTCTATTTTGAAGATATTCGTCAATTTAGGTTTTTTCAACTTTTCACTAGCTTACCACATAAAAACGCTTACAACTTCCAAAATGTTGAGACTACAACAAATCCAATTACAGCATTTGAAAGAACGCTAAATTTGCTGTAAGATACTTTTTGCTATAATCTGAATGACATAAAATGTTAGCCAATATCAGTCGGAACATGTCAAAATTACAAAATTTAAAATGTGTAGAGATTAGTGACCGTTAATCGATAGTTATTCAGATATCATGAGATACACCCGACCTCATCTCACGATATCTGAATAAAATTTAAAATTTTGGTCATGTTTGCACGTTCTACTGAGGTTACAAAAAAATACCTACAACTTCACAAAAACTTTTTCATCTAATATGCTTTACGTTGATTTTTCAACTCTACTAGAAAGTTATTGAAAAACCTGGATACATCAACGTAAAGCATATTAGATGAAGAAGTTTTTGTGAAATTTGACAAGTTGTAGGTATTTTTTTGTAACCTCAGTAGAACGTGCAATCATGACCAAAATTTTAAATTTTGTAATTTTGACATGTTCCAACAGATATTGGCTAACTAACATTTTATGTCATTCAGATTATTGCAAATAGAATTATCTTACAGAAAATTTAGCGTTCTTTCAAATGGTGTAATTAGATTTGTTGTAGTCTCAACATTTTGGAAGTTGTAAGCGTTTTTATGTGGTAAGGTAGTGAAAAGTTGAAAAAAACCTAAATTGACGAATATCTTCAAAATAGAGAACTTTCCGAAAATTTTCTCTTAAGCATTTTTTTCTCCAAAAAAAGAGTAGAATCGATTCCCTGAGTTTCGACAGAAGGAACTGGAACACCCTGTATATAATTTTGGTAAATATATCGGTTTGTATTTGCTACTGTTTATATTTACTAGCGTTAATGTGTAGTGTGAGAAGGCCAATGGTGGAATATTGAGACATCGACCCTCATTTAGATTAGTTACATACATAATATGTGTATAGGCTGATGGAAGAATTATCTCTTATTAATCGAGTATTCCTTCTCCCTCTTAAATATGAAAATAGAAAAGAATAAATTTACAAAAACAAATATGAACCTGCTAACTGAATTTAAGATTCGAGGCTAACTTGAAATGAAATTTTAGGGTATCTCTTATGACAAGTATAATTTAACATTACAAAAATGTAGATGTACATTTTTTAGGAAATAATATATTAATAAATGAAAGTAGATATAATTTAATGTGTTAGTCTCATACTGGAAACTGTAATACTTTCCGGTTTTTAATAGTGTAACTTACTTTTCTGTAGTTTATTCTACTATATCTGCATAAATGCAAATATTGGCCAAATGGTTTTTCTGTTTGTTTATATTTTTATGATTTTGTTTTGTATAATTTAACTGTTATATCATACCTATTATATTGACCTCTAGTTTAAAATTAAATTCTGAGCGTGGTTATCGGGCAAAGAAAGAGAAAATAAAATCTTCTTTGACCCATAAAGAAAGAATTGCTCGTTTTATATTTAGCCGTAAGATTTTCAGTCCTACCGATTCGTATTTTCCCCAAAAAGTAGTCACACCGGGAAAAAAAATCTTTGTTTGGATCCGGATTTCGAAATCTAATCTTGTATGCATTAATGTGCTATCCGGGTGGGATTTATTTTGAAGTATTACCCTTCCACGAATAACACAAGGGCAAACAGTGTAGAGCGGAAAATGTGATAAAACCTAATAAACGAGAAGGTAAATCCGACAACCAACAGTACGGATAATCTTGGAACTGGAGTTTAATTAGGAATAGCAGTAGGGCAAGAGTAATAAATTCTTCCTCTCATATTCACCCAATGAAGAAAACTTATTGTGACACCTTTCTATAGTGTTTTTGTTAAAGTACTTGTTTTTTGCATTAAGTAACTAAAAATATCCTTTTCACTGTATACAATTTTGGTATCATTGCCATTCTTATGACTTTCATAACTTCAATATATTCTGTCGTAAAACATGGCAAATGAAAACCCTGAGGAGTCGGGGATGGGAAATCGATAGGGTCCGACCGGAATATTGTATTTGCCGAAATCTGGATGGTATTGCGGAGGCGAAGGTTGATTGATATCTTTCTTATGTAGGATAGCCTGATCACAAATGATTTCAAATCGTTCTATTTCCAATCCCGTTTATACGATGGCAGAATCTCGGCTCTTTTTTCTGCGAAGCCCCTTTACGAAAGTCTGTCTGAATTTAGACGTTGTCCTCGGTAAGAATGTGGGGTTTCTCTGGACGATTCTACTTTGGAATTCTTACCGTTGAGAGTTGTAGCAGAAGCGTCGCTCCTCTGGGCGTTCATGGGCGCTATCATCGTCCATTGGTTGGTGCGGTAGTCGTACTTCTCAGCCGTGTTTTGCCTGTGGTGTCCGTCATAACCCCCCATAGCGTAGATAACATCGTCAAGTACTGCCACGCTCACATAGCATCTGAAAACGATGGAAATTGACAAATTGTTGTGAGCAATAACCACCACCAGCAGCTACCTTCTAGCATTCATCGGAGCGATTTCCCTCCAGGTCTTAGTCACTGCGTTAAAGCAACGACACGAATTGAAGTAGTCCATTCCGTCGAAACCTCCAATTATATAAATATCGTGACCGACAACCGCTGTTCCGTGGTAAGCTCTAGGTCCCGTCCGGTCAACTTCTTCAACCTACAACACAATCTATTATATGAAATGTTTTACAGCTAAAAATCTGATCAGTGAAAATTGTGATGATCAACTGTTTGAAGATCCTACTGATGCCTAGGAGACATTTTTCTCTCGGTAGTATGGTAAGGCTGAAGAAACTTAGAGACTGGAACTGATTTGACTTCAAATCGAGTTGATATTTCACAAAAAGTAAATTAAATTGATTTACACATTAGGCATACAAGACAACCAATTTGTCAGCAAATTTCAGTAAGAATTTATCCGTCTAGCGCTGTTTCTTCATAATTAGTTAACCCATGGGATTATCCCTGAATCATTGAAACGGCGACAACAAAATCCGAAAATGGGGAAAGTCTAAATGAATTTAGAATACTGAAAATACCTATCTTTAATATTCATGGTAACTGGATAAAATCCCAGCCTTGAAAACGACGATAAGAGAAAACGCGACTGATATACCAAAAACTGATATGATTTGCAGGCTAAAATGATCGTAATCTACCAAACCAAAAGTTCATACCCACGCAAACCTCAATAGAAAACGCCAAATCATAATTATTTGTCAATATTTGGTTGGTCGTTTTCACAGGTTGACCGATGCAATTATTATTGAATCAATGAACCTGTGAGAGTACCTTCGAAAAAGAGGAAAGAATGAATTGAATTTGGAAAAATGCAATGCCATTCGTGTAATAATATCACGCTGGCTATAAAAACCCGAGCACAGAAGATTGTGAAGAGTCGAAAAGTTTCGGACAGACGACAACGGCGATTACAAGCAAAATGATCAAAAACGACCAGACTCAGGTTCATCACCTAGTAGATCTCACAAGATTAATCTCCCAATATAACAATTTTAGATTGTTTTTTATCACTACTGTTTGATTTCTACTGGAAAACGAGCACTTTTGAGCCCCAATGTCTCGAATAGAACAAAAGCGCGAGGATAGACAAACTGATCAGAAAGAACCAAACTGCAGGCTCATCATCCGCAAACCTCCAGAAGTGAATCTGACAAAATGACAGTTGGTCTCTTTTTCCATCACTACTGTTTGCTCTTCTCATATTGACTCTTGCAATTATCACTGGTTCAATAAAATTGCGAGAGCGCCTAAAAATAGATTTTGGAAAACAGATAATGTTTATTTTGTAACTATGATTGGGGCTGAACAACTCAGCCCTGAAGATGGTGGAAAGCCGAAACACATGGATGGGTCAACCAAAACAGCAGGCAAAATAACGATCAAAATACAGTTTTGTCAACCTGAAGACCCTCAAAAGGACGGTTGTCTGTTTTTCATACGTTAATTACCACTGAAACAACGAAATTTCCAGGTCGCCTTTCAAAAAGCGGATTTAGAAAACCGGCAACGTATAAAGATAATGTGGATTTTACTCGCCCACAAAAAATTTGATTAGCAAATTACTTATGAACACCAATCTGTGAGGAAGGTGATCGGTTTTAAACACCATTGGTTGTTTTATCCGTCTACTCTGGATAGGCGTTCTTAATTGGTTAACCCAATCTGCGAGAGTAACTTCAGAAATTAAGAGAAGTCTGAATAGAATTTCAGCCTGAAAAAGATTTTGCCTGAAAGCTTTGAAAAGGAGAATTTTCGCAAAAATAAAATAGATAAAATTGGTACTTATGACAGAAATGTTTTCTAATTTATAACATATTAATAAAAAGTGGTTTCAATGAATTGTTTCCATAAATGGAATACTTGAGGAAAAATGTCAGTAACATCAGTAACCAAATCAGTAACGATTGACCTGCCTATAAGTCTTGTACGTTCCTTCAATCGTATTAGCGTTTTTTCATTGGTATTTTAAAGAAATTTTATTTGGATTTTAGAGGAAGTTTATAAGTTATAAGTTTGTATGTTTAGGGGAAGTCTCAATCCAGAGCAAATCAGCATCTTCGAAACATCGACACATATAATACAAGAACGTTGTACTTTAAGCTTTACGTTAAGATACCAAAAATTATGGTCACCGTAAATGAAATTCTTGAGGAAAAAAAATCAGTAACATCAGTAAATACCAAATCAGTAATGATTGACCTGCCCATAAGTCTTGTAAGTTCCATCAACCTGATTAGCGTATCATATTGTTCATCCGTATTTTAAATAAATTTTAGTTAGATTTTAGGGTAGTATATAAAGCTCAGCCTAGAGCAAAATGAACATCTTTGCAACATTGACACATATTATACAAGAACGATGTACTTTAAACTTTACATTAAGATTTCAAAAATTATGGTCACCATGGATAGAATCCACATCAAACTACGCGACGCGTTAAACAACCATGAAAAAAAAGAACCTTAGTTTGCCAAGAAATATCTATAATGAGGGATGGTGGCTGAAATGAAAATGTCAAACAACTCATTGTAATTCAAAACAAAAAGACACTGGGTTTCATCGATATGTTATAATGTGTAGAGATTAGTGACCGTTAACCGATAGTAATTCAGATATCGTCAGATGCGGTCGGGTGTGATGTAGGTTTCAGAAAAACATTTTCTTTATCGTGGGAATGTTTCGATCTTTTATTGAGATCATCACAAACAATGTTTACATTTAACAAATACATTTAGGATGTGAATAAGTGAATTTATACAATGCAAAATATATTTTATATTCAAACAAAGTATTTCTACTCACTCAAAGTGTTTGTCTTCTATGTAATTGTGCCATCCTTGCGTGTGTTGAGAGTGCAGTGAGATTTTGCTGTTTTATGTTTATATATGTTTGGTTTTGAAGGGGTGGGGAAGGAAGTCGGTATATAAAGACAATTTTGTGCAAGGCGTCGGCTTCTTTGAAGTGAAAAAAGCCGACAAAGGGGAACTATGTGTTGGTAATAGTTCGGCCAGATTATTCTTTCAGGATTATATAGAAAGGGGATAAATAGGAAAAGGAAAACTAAATTGTTGGGAAATTAGACTATGTGAAAAGTATTTGATGTGTGGAATGTAATATAATGATATATGTATGTTATCTGTATTGTATTTGATTTTTTTGATTTTTATTGAAGATGATCTTTTTTTTATCTTGGCACGTTTTCGCTCTTTTGTTGATGTTTTCTTCAATAAAAATCAAAAAAATCAAATACAATACAGATAACATACATATATCATTATATTACATTCCACACATCAAATACTTTTCACATAGTCTAATTTCCCAACAATTTAGTTTTCCTTTTCCTATTTATCCCCTTTCTATATAATCCTGAAAGAATAATCTGGCCGAACTATTACCAACACATAGTTCCCCTTTGTCGGCTTTTTTCACTTCAAAGAAGCCGACGCCTTGCACAAAATTGTCTTTATATACCGACTTCCTTCCCCACCCCTTCAAAACCAAACATATATAAACATAAAACAGCAAAATCTCACTGCACTCTCAACACACGCAAGGATGGCACAATTACATAGAAGACAAACACTTTGAGTGAGTAGAAATACTTTGTTTGAATATAAAATATATTTTGCATTGTATAAATTCACTTATTCACATCCTAAATGTATTTGTTAAATGTAAACATTGTTTGTGATGATCTCAATAAAAGATCGAAACATTCGCACGATAAAGAAAATGTTTTTCTGAAACCTACATCACACCCGACCGCATCTCACAATATCTGAATTACTATGATATGTTATAATGCTAGTTTCAAATTTGAAATTACAATATATTAAAAAAAATTGAGGTCCACCACTGGTTATCACCGTCTATACAGTTCTAATACATATCGTTATCAAAATATATCAAGTAGTGTTTAAAAAGTTATTTATGAATGAAATATCTATATTATAGGCCATTTTAGTAGTTATTTTATGTGTTGTACCTTGACCCATCGATCGGCTCGAGTATCGTAAGTTTCGATGTAGTTGGTAGGACTTCCTCCGCTCCAGCCTCCGATGGCGAAAAGAATCTCGTGTGGGACTCTCGGCCTCGCTATTTCAGGTGTCGACACCTCGCCCGTTCTTTGTGTTATCATCTCCAAATCGTATAAAAACCTCAAGGTGTCGATAATTATCGGTCGACAAAGATCGTTGCCAGCTACGTATTGGTGCTCTTTCACCTGTCAGACAATTACAATGCCAGAAATAGTTTATTACCGTGTAAAACACTTTTGGTTAGAGTCCCTATATTAGCCCGATTAGATTGAGACGGTTGCCCTTAAATATAGCCCGTTTTACGACACCATTAAAATAATAGGGGCTAATTGAACTTTGACGTTTTAGAGCACGCCATTTGGAGAAGTAGCCGGGCAATTTAGTGCCTAACAGTTTCTCCGTGTATTGACGTCAATTGTTAGTATTGCTTTCTATTAATGAAAATGAGAACCTACGTGTTCCAAAAAGAACTGCGTGTCCATCAAGCCGAGCCTGATCTGCCCCATGAGAATGACAATGTGCTGTTTTCTGTTCTCAGGGTCTTTGGAAATCCACCTTAGAACAAATTCCCAGACGAGTTCTTCGCTTTTAACATTGAGTTCGTCGGATCCGACTATTTCTTTGATTTCGTCGACGCCTAAATTCAGTATTTCCTCACTCCTTTGCGCTACCTGCACGAAGTTACGCATTACGTACGTAAAAGCTTCCTTTTCTAGCTTCAGACAGAAGTGGTCCCTGAATGCAAATAAACGTAGAATTAACATTTAGAAAAATAATATTAATTAATACAACTTATGTAGTCAGCAATTCTAGAAAAGAGCTTATGCTTAAAACTTAAACTTTTCAGGTTATGCCTTTTATTTCAAAACAACGATAGCCTAAATAGCAATAACGACTCTTTAATTTCGTTATCAACATTGCGGTATTTCGTAATATCCTAAGTCTTAATTAGCAAATTATACAATATTCTGTTGAAATATGCTAAAAAACTTGTGTTTAATTAGTTTGAATCCACGCGTTTGACTTTACAAAACACAAATTCCGATAGTATTACCATTTTATAGTTAAAATTAGTGGAAAAGTTTTGTTAAAAACTAATAATAAAACACAACTTGAACTTTGAATAAGTTAGCTTGCAATCTTATTGCCATAATTGAAATTCACTGTGTTCTGAAAAAGTTCTTGCAACAATACAAGATTGTTAAATACGAATTTGTATTATTTTTTTTTTTCAATTAACCAAACTTTTACTACTTTTTAAAACTATTTCTCTACTCATTATACAATGTGAGTTATGTACTTAAGTTCACTGTTAACATTTTATTTAACAATGTCATATGGTGCAGTAGCAAATGTTCAATGTGTTTAAAAAAAGGAATGAGTTATTTTCTTATTACATGTGTTATTTTTATTACTAACTGTTACTTATTAACTAGATTCATTATTTTCTTAAATTGGTACACGGTTTAAAATATTATGAAATATTTAATTGCAAACTTAACGTGAGAAGGGTTATATTTTCGTTCAACGTACGTACGTTACAAATGTTTTGTGCTTAAAAATAATATTAAAAGTTTAGTCTATTTTTTGTCTGATTCATTTATATTGTTTACACCTTATTTTAGATTTACTTATTTTTTCAACACAGAGAAAGTGCATTACGCACTTAACAGATGTTGCAAAAATAAAATAAACCCCAGTAAACAAGAAGAATGGGAACTAAGAGGTCTTAAGCAGCCTTTGATAAATGGAGCTGCAATTCCTTTTCTAAAGAAGTGAAATATCCAGGTGTCACTTTTGACCACAGACTTTCTTGGAATCAGCAGCTCAATAAATGCTACCTTTTGCAAAAAGCTGGGGACTAAATCCAAAGATGTCCCATGGGTATACACAGAGGTTGTAAGACCCAAGACAACCTAAGAATCGATGGTTTGATGGACGAAGACATTACAGCTGAGGGCGGTCAGGATCTTCAGTACAAGCGTACGTGGCCCATGAGAACACCTCTATTGCTGGTCTGGAATGCCTCCTGAATCTACCTGTACTACATATCACTCAGGAAGTTTAGAGCCACAATTCATGGGCTAAGCAGGGCAGGCTCCAACTCATACTCTCAACAAATCTTCAACCAGGGGAGGTAAGAACCACAATTAATATCCTTGAAGTGGCTACTAGTTAGTTTCCACGATACCGCTAGATGCCACTACGACTTATGGAATGTTCTCGCCCTCCTCTCTGCAGGCAATCAGAGTAGAGCTCTTCCCTACATAAGCAGGGGCACTGCCCCGCTGGAATTACACTCGTCAGCCGACGAGGTCTCATACCTCATTAATACTCAACGACACCAGACTCGTCAGCCCGACGAGCTATCACTAATGGAACACCGTCGACGACTGCAAGAGTACCCGCACACCTGATCTCGCCTTCTAAACAGCCGACTTGGCTATAAACGCCAAACGCTGCCCCTCGGCTAATTGTTGCACTCCAGTACCTTCGGCCTCTGTGGAGTCAACCGACTCACAGACCACCGGACCTCAGCCAACGGTTTCCTCTCTCACACACCACAAGCAAGGGCGCCACTCGCACGTCGCAGGTCTAGGCCTTCTACCTTCGTCACGGCTTCTCTCAACACAACACCGGCCCTTTTCAAGGCCACAAAACTCCCAGTCGCTAAATCCTAATGCGAGGGTAGGCCCCAATAGTCAACTCGCATAAAACAGTGAAATTAAAGTTTTAGGATAAACTTAAGGAAGACAAGGTTTTTGGAAAGTTTGTTGATGCCATGACCATAAAATTCGGATTTGATAAAATGTTTCAACTTAAAACACCCGATACAGCAGACTAGGAGAAAGGAATCCCAAGAAATGCCGCTTTCACCTTAACTAACGGCAGAACTACTAAACCTAGGATGCATTAGGACTAGAATGAAAGTAGGACTACAGAATGGACACTAGAATCTGGAGGCAGATGTATCAACACAGAGCAGCAGATACTGTCAGGAAGAAGCCGAAACAGCAGATCTTGTTGGTAAAAAAACCTAAGCAGACTGAAATTCTTGCTCCTAGGAGGTTTTTAAAGAAAACTAAAAGAACGATTATTTGACATTAGTGTTTTACACTAAAATTTGAGGAAGTTGAATTAGTAATGACCAAACTTTTAGCAAATAAAATTCACATGTAGTTTTGTGACATAGTTAAGTAAGGGATAGACTCAAATTTAATCATCTCTGATCGTCCTGGTCCGTACATTCTTGTCGGCTTATCAAAAACATTTATTTTAACAAGTAAACTAAATGTGGCAAAATGTTGAAGAAAAATATCAGAATTAAAAGGCAGACTAGGACGACCAAACGCCAAAGGACTTGTATATTTACAACTTTATGATTTGCAGAAATGCTTCTTATTATATAAAAAAATGAACGTTGGTTTAATACATACCTAGCATACTTTAAAATTCCAATGCAGTTTTCCGGATTCAGCTGAGTTTTTAGGAACTCACAGCATTGCTCAATAACACCAAGTATGGCAAGGTAGTCTGCTGCTGACAAGAGGTAGGTCACGTTGTCTTCCGTGATCGTGATCCGCCTTAAATAGGCGTATTCGAGCAAAGCGCCGAGTATATTAGAGGCCAGACCTGGGAGAAGCACGTCCGTTTTTTCCGACTGGTGGAGTGTCGTGGTAAAAAGAGACCTGAGGAGAAAAATGGCAAAATCACAACGGTGAAAACTAGAAATGATTGGTTTTGATTGACGGCTTGCCTGAAATAACTGCTGCAAGCCGACAGAATTGCCCGATGGACAGGAAATGATGAACCGTCTTCCAATCTGATCACGGCGTCGCAGAGCATGTTCATCTCCCTCAGCTCGTAGAGGGACATCATTGACGACTGGCTCATACATTTGCCAATTTTGGTCTTAATTCCCAATTCCTGTCCGACTGCTGTAACAAATTTACGGCTAATTATTATAGATAAACGGTAATGATTTAGCAAAACATTGAATTGATCGTTGAATTGTTCAGTGTACTGGATATTCTAGTAGCTATTCTCACTGTTCACGTTAATGTATCTTCGGTAAAAAATAGTAATTCGTTGAAATTCCACGGAAATAATTTAGACTGAAAGTTAAGTTAGTTGTTTTTCGGCCCAAATCAACTTTTAAAAATGCCTATACTCAAAACCAGAGTTACTCTTGAATTTGAACCACAAAATGAACTACTTTAGCTTTTATATGATAGTCGTCAGACTTACGGTACGTGATTGTGATGTAACTACAAATAGGATGGCAATCCTGCCTAATCCGGAAATCATGAGAACAACGACAACTGCAGTCTTTGTGACGTTACCTACCACGTCGACAAATGGATGAAGATCCAGGGGAGGTAAGAACCACAATTAACAGGCTAATGCAAGGGCAGGCTCCAATACTCATAACTCGCATAAAAGAGAGAAATTAACCTTCGGACCGAACTTCAGGCAGACAAGGTTCTGGGGATGCCTGTTGGCGCCATGATACCAAATTGCAAATCGAAATACGCAATACAGCAGACTGGGAGAAAGGATCCTAATTAATGTCGACTATGTGGTATACAGATGGCTCCAACACTGAGTATGGGTCAGAAGCTTGGATGTATGGAAATAAACCTAGTCCTAGAATTTATATAAGCCTTCGGCAATATGCCACTCTTTTAGGCGGAAACTCTGGCTATTGAACACTGAGCCAAAGTGATCAAAAGGCTGGTTATTACCAACAAAAGAATAGTAATCTACTTGGACAGCCAGACAGCACTAAAGACAACTCCCCTATCCATAGTAAAGTCTAGAGCCGTTTGGGATTTCATCAAGGTCCTATCAGACTTAGGGACAAATACAAAACTACCATTATTTAGATACCATGGCACACATGGTAGGGGCAACGAGAAGGCCGAAAAGTCTATGAACGTTCGGTGAGGACACCGATCGGCCCTGAACCCTTTCGCTTTATATCAAATTGCTAAAAAGTAGATCCATCAGATAATGGGTTAAGCATAAGTCCTCGATTCAATGCGATTGTATTTCAGGTTAGAAGCAGGTGAATAAGTTCAATAAATGACTATGGGAGAAAGTAAACACAGAACTACTAAACCAAAAACGTGTTAGGATTAGACTCGTATTACTGCTTACTGGACACTTGACTCCCGATGTGCACGTATATGGAGAGGCAAGATCCGTTACACATTGACCCATTTAAAGACAGATTATCTTCAGAATGCCAAAAAACGTTTAGAAGAACTTCGAAGAGATACCTAGGGATGCCTAATAAAACTACAAAAAAATATAAAAATACGATACCTTGAAAGAACAGTATAGAAAAATGACTATGGGTAACTATTAAATTACACGGAAAGATTAACGCCTAAATAGGACTTGGATTTAGAATTAAATTATCAACTTCCTAGAAGCCAGGAGAGAAAAGCCATACGCCATGATAGTCAAGCTGCTCTGAATGTTCTGGTCTCATCTTACACATCGGAAGATTATGAATTGTACGGCGAGTCCACTGGTAGAACAACTGGTCTAAAGTCTGGTTCTCTGAACATACGAGTGATGAGATGCGGAAGAAGCAAAGGAGATTTCTTCAGCAATACTAATAAAACTACTAGCTTTCTGTCAAATTGTCAACCAAAATAATAGTACGGCAATTGCCACTAGACCATGTTATACACTCATAAGTAGAACTGAGGACAGAAAGATGCAAAACACTTAATCAAGAAAGTCATCTAAACTTACTAACCTGCTGTGGCCTAAAACATACAAAATGTTAATTGCAATTGTCGACTCAAAAGGTATTTGATGTGGCAGAATTACCCAGTTCAAATTCTGTCAAGAAGAGAAAGAAGACCCAGTGTAATAGCACTGTGTAGTTCTAGCAAGAAGAACATTTCTGTTAAAAAAAGAAAAAATAGCTCAATCCAGGAACTAATAGAAATTTGAAGCCAGATCGTGTAACCCATATGTAGAGAAGCACATTTGTCCTACTTGAGAGCCATAGTACCAATATCTATTTAGACAGTTTTCAGCTGCAAATGTAACCTGTCTAACATTAGCTTTATTGCCAACGAAAAAAAGCAGAGCCGATCATAATTCGACATCAGGTTTTAATTGTTTGATCTTTTCCCTCGGATGTATATTTATGTTGTCTACAGTCCTTCTCGTGTTTTGTCGATGGGGTAAAAGTCAAATAAAAGGAAGTAGTAATTAAGCCTTTGTTTGATCGGTGTCTTTTACACTAAGAGCTTATTCAGAGGTGGTTATTTATTCGTGAAGATGTATTTGTTAAAGTTTGAAAAACCCAATTTAGTTGTATCATTAGAACAAAGAATTTCCCTACACTTTCCTCTTCTTTATAGAATTATGTTCTAAATTCTAAATATTTGATCTGTTATCATAGGCAGCACAAATAACTACCATAACCATGAACTGAATGATGTGCTTTCCCCATTAAACGAAATTGACAAAGATTTAAACAAGACTTTGTCAATATGAATCTAAAGTATGTTTGATAGTGTATGTAAATATGTTATTTTTATTTGGAATATAACATACTAACGAAAACTGGTTATAATTTGTCAGCAATTGGTTTTCTTTTAGCCAGACTGTTGTAACAATCAAAAGCCCTGAGTGCAATGAAAGGAAGGACATGTCCAGCCACATGAAGCGAGAAAAAATGAAGCAGATTGTAAAAACAAGGGGGAAATCGTACAATAATTGCAGGCCGATAAACAAAACTTTCCGGTTGAATAAGTGGTAACTACGTAGTCGAAACTTTTTTCATGAAATATATAATCTGTGGAACGCTCATTTTTTTAAGCACTCTTACGCTGAAGAACAGTAGAAGTAATGAAATGTAAAAGTTTGTATGTTTTCAAAATACCAGCCAATAGCTGTTCATGAGTGGATAAACTAAACTTTCATGGTAACATAAGACTGATTTCTAACAGAACTTTTAAAACAAGAAATATTTTGAAAATAGTGATAGTTGAATGGAACACAAAACAATTTCACAAATAACTGCTTATCTTCTAGTCGGCAAAAATCGACGGTTTTCCACAAAATGTACGCAAGACTTTAAAACTGATTATTTCGCCTATTGTTCAACACTCACCTGGCATTTCTGTGACCGTCTTCAACGATCCTAGTCGAAATAGAACTGCGGAATGTTGAAAGGGGTACAAGCTTCGATCTCGCTATTGCTCTTTGGGTTATGTCCACTCCCCCGACTGTTACTTATGTTGCTATCTGACTAAAAATTTTGAAAAGACCCAAAGTTTTTCATTTTTTTTACTCCTTGTGTGGAGTGGTCTCCATGGAAATTGTATTTTGGAAGCTTGATATTTTTTTTTTTTTTTTAATTAAAAGATCAATACTTTTTAAATTAACTTGAATTTCCAGGAATATCAAATCGCTCTCCATGATTTTATTGTGGTTCTTTTAGGAAATGATGTATATAGACCATTCAAGACAAAAACATTTGTCCAAGCCTTTGTTTAATTTGTGAACATCTATATCAGATCACTTGTGAAAATTACCCAATCAGAAGACACACATAAAAAGAATTATTATTTTGTAAAAACTTTACAAGTAACTAAAAAACACATTCCTAAAATATAAGTTAAATATTTAAACAGTTTATAATGCTTGTAAATTGAAGGAAAGGTCGTTATAATTTGTATCTTCTGTTCGTCTGACGACGTCAAAGTTGACTTTAACTTTATAAAACATGACGATTAAATTAAACGCTTTGTTTTAAACAAAGTTTTACCGATTTGACGTCTTTTTACAATGAAAGTGATGATGAAGAGGGGTGAAAATCGGCTTTTCCACGAGCCACTGACTAAAAACGGAAAGTGAATAAACGAAGGCCGGTAATCATCCCAATTTGCTTATAAATGACTTCATCAATTGATACGGCAAATATAGCACTTCTTTTATTTATTTAAGCTTCCATTTAGTAGCGCAACAGAATAATCGAAATCTCCGTGACATCATACCACCCACTCGCGGTAAAACAGCCCAGCGCAAATATGATTTATTCATGACCGCTTCTTGAAGCAGCAGAACAGTAAATCAAATACATTAATATACAAATTCAGACTTGCTAACAAGATAGACTGAATTAACATGCCAAAATACTGGTAAATGTACGAAAACCAAAAAGCGGTTATTATATTTCAGTTAATATTGCGATTAGTCCAAAGGTTTCCGTTCCATGTTATAAACAAAATCGTTATTCTTGATTCTCAAATACAATCTGTTTTAAAAATGCCTTGTTTTCTTCATTTATTTAAAAGCAAATAGTTTCAGCAGCCCTACACAAATCGTGAAAAATTATCGTATCAATTGATACAACAAATACATCACGAATTTTATTTATTCAAGCTTCCATTTAGCCGCATTTCTTCAAAATTACACAAGGTTTATTTATATTTGTTACTATCTAGCTTATTATTACATAAAAAAATCATCTTCAAAAATTCATATATTTTACAGTGTTTCATAAACATATGTTCTTAAACTGGCATATTTCCAAATGGTAATTCTTGTTGCATTTTTTTTTTTTTTTTTATTTCATTTATTTTCATCTACAACTGTTCATGCTTTATATACAACCAGCAGATTAGATTTCAATTAGTGATTGTGACACTACGTGCGTTATAGAGAAAGCTATCTATTGATAGCCTCTCTGGTTTAATAATATGATATTAATTCAAGAGGTCATCCATATTCTTTTCAGTCGCCTACATGGTAAAAGTGGGGAAAAGAGTAATCGTATTCGTGTGCTAGTCCCATAACTGTAAGAAGTTAAGAAATTCATATTTTGAGTCGCAGCTTATGCATGTAAATTCATTCACTTACTTGGGCATACTCTCAGCTGTACGGGTAGTTTGGCAAGGAATAGTGCTTAATAAAGGTATGCGAGCTCTTGGAAAGATGAAAGAAGTGCTTATTAAAAGTAAATCCAACTCCTTACCGACGAAAAAAGCCATTTGACTCAGTTATCCACAATTCTAACCACCCTTTAATATCTCATATATTTAACGCCACCATTCAACTAACCAATAGAGGCATCGTAGTGCACATAATTTGGACTAAAGGCCACAGCGACAACAAATTTAATGATGAAGCGGACAGGCTGGCCAAGACTGCGGCCTCCACTGGCATTCCCTGCTCTACTATCTCCCTTAGAGATTTTAGAGCCCACATAAACAGTTACTGCAGGCTCCGTTGGCGAAATGAATACTCCGCCAGCACAAAAGGAAAATTTTATAAATTCATCCAACCTATCATTCCTACCTTCCCTTGGTTCCGATCTTACAATAGTCCTCGCCATTCCCTCACCTCTATAATTCGGCTTTGCCTAAACCACAATTGTCTTCCCTCCCACCTCTATAAAATAAATATCCTCGACTCTCCTTATTGTTCCTGCGACCCCTCGTGCATAGCTGATTCCAACCATATTTTACTAGCCTGTCCCAATAACTCCATCAACCGAGAGTCCTTCTACAACACTCTAATTTGTAATAATATCCCTCTTCCTACCTCAATATCCGTTGTACTCTCTTTTACCCGCAAACCCAAAATAATTTCCTCTCTCTCTAAACTCCTATCCCAAAATAATATAGTAATATAATACAACAAAAGTGTACATTTCAAACTTGAAGTTTAGAAATTTGGCCAATATGCTAGACCATAAGGCCAAAAAAAAAAAGACAGTTGTCGCCGCATCTGCTTACTATGCCGGTGAACTTTGGGAAGTAGCGCATTTGGAAAGATTGGACAAATTGCAAACCGCGTGTTATAAACAGCTATTCCATCTGCCTCGCAACACTCCAGATCATTGTATAAATATCGAGTTTGGTCTTGAATCTCCTAGCACCCAAATTTTGATTAGGGTCATAAACGAAATAAAGTGCTATTTGAGGTAATAAATCGCTTTTGAACAGATATTTTGAATCTGTTTTGTTCACAACCAACTTTTCATTACCTCGTAAAGAACATGGCAATGGTAACTGGCTTATTTATTTACATATCACAACTATATTTCATATAAAAAGTGCAACTAGTCTTAACTTGTGCCACTCCACCGCCAACTCGAATTTTCGATACTAACAATCTAATCGATACTGCAATGTACTGTCAGGGAAAATCTACGGTGTTATTGGAGTATTAACCTAATTCTCAACAGTACTCTAGACTCCGTGGCTTCTTGTATGCCTTTTTCGTTCATGTTAGTGCTGTTAATATTCAACAACAGTTAGACGGCTACGTACGTCCAAACAATCAACCTATCCGATCCGAACTCCAACGTGGCGAGTTCGTACCGGCCGGGATGAATCATGAATAAAATCACCACTTAGTATATTGTGTTAAAACGCAACAGTTGATGGAAGTGGGGTCACCAATGTTGAAGTTTTTCTAACTTCTGGAAACGAGACAGAATACTTTGTTCTATTTTATTCATACAAGATTACGGTACACAGCTACAACTCTATCTCATATAAAAAGTGCAACTAGTCTTAACGTGTGCCAATCCACCCTCAACTCAAATTGTCGATACTAACAATCTAATCGATACTGCAATGTTCTATCAGGGAAAATCTACGGTGAGGAGCGCTGTTATTTGAGTATTAACATAATTCTCAACAACATGATATATTAGCACTTTTGGGTTTCGAACCTTCCGATTTTTTTCATAATGTAAGTATGTTGGCGTAGCACAGAAAATACATAATTGGGCGTTGGCAGAGTAATCTCTATCTAATTAACATCGAGTTCCGTTTTCAACCCCTTCATTAGGCAAATTTCCAGACTTTATTTATGCGAAAATTATTTTGTACAAAATGGTTCAATTGGCCAAGCAAAGAATTATAGTGCAATTAATACTATCGGGAACCGCAGCAATTAGGTTATTTTATAAAGAGATTGCATATTTCATTGACTGCACACAATTGCGCATTATCTGCAGTTTGAAAGTTAATGAAACTTTGACACACATAATATTGAAGTGCCCTACATATTCGTCATTAATAAAATTTTTTTACAATTGTTAACGCCGTAGCTGTCCTTAGTTTACTTCTCGTTTCCTTCCCTTTTAATTTCAATCGTTCTTTTCTCCTTTTCTTTTTTCGTTATAATTCAGAAAATCTTCAAACTTAAAGAAGAAAGGATTCGTAATTTAGTTTTAATATTTTTTTGGAATAACTATCGGAGAAAGACTCTCTATTTGTTATTGTTTAGTAACCCTGAGGGTCAATGGGCCGCCGCATGCTCAGTCCACGAGCTTTCACGCTTGAAGATCGTATATATAACTTTTTTTAAATCGGGGATTTTTCATCCCTCACACAGGGTTGAGATTTTCATCCATAAATCATCATCATCATCATTGAGATAGTGGTTGCTGATTTTCAACCGAAACGGCTTGCTTGAATCTTCTGAAGATTGAAGGTAATCATCATTTGTTCATAATTTTCCATTGGATACGGTTGTTGGTGAATCGACGGCCTTATATTCAGGATATCGCAGTGAGTCGTTCCGTTCTCGTGAAATCCGACAAAACGCATATATAATTAAAATTTTCGTCGTACGCAGGTGGAATCAATTGTTCTATTATTTAAATCTTATCTGATTTCAAAAGGCATATATATAATTTTGATTTATTTATAAAATTAACAGTTATTTCTAATTATAATTTATCCTGAGGTATCTATATTTGTATGCATGCTATAGAATAAGAAATTAATTTTTATATACTTGTACAGGGAGATTTTCCCCATTTAGTTTCCTTTTCTTTTCTTTTTGCTTCTTTGTTTCTTCCAAGGATCCTTTCTTCAATAAATTCAAGGTTTTCTTAATATCTAAACTTGTATAGTCTCTATTTTCTTTACAGCTTTCCTTCCCCCTCTTCTCTCCAGCGACAGTGACCGGTATTGTTTTAAAGGGAGGGGTGGCTGTGCGAGAAAGTCGAGCACCCCCTCTCAAACATAAAGATGGGTTAAACAATGCACCAACAATGGCGACGAGAAATTAGTATGGTTACTAATTGGGAGTTGGGATAATGATAAAATAAATTATTTATTTTACTGTATACATTACTGGGTACATTGAAGTTGAGAGCGTTCGTGTTGGATGAATAAAGCAGTCTGACAGAGGTCTTATTTTATTTGTCCATAATATAATATATGATAGTCTTATGTAACATATATAATAAATTAATTAATAGGATAATTTAATAAAATTAATAATAAATCAATATGTATATAAATTTATGTGTATTAAAAGTAATACTCTATTGTATACTACTATATTGC